AGTTAGCACAGAAGAGAAATGACTGGCGTGCTGTTTTGGACTCGGCCAAAATCGCTTAGGCGGTTACAGCGCCAATTAAGAAGAAGAAGTAAACGAAAAGAGAGTGTGGATCGTTCATGTAACAGAGTGCGTAAACTTATAAGATTATCTGCTTGATAAAGTTATCGGTTTAGATGAATACCACTAGTGTAAATGCCACATACACTATTATTCGATAATTGCATCATTGGATAGACAATCCTTTAATCTATCAGAAAAATCTTTAGTTTTCTTAAATATTTCTTTGGCTCACTAATTTATTCCCGAAAAACGAAATTGTATTTGTATGGTTTGTAATGGTTTATAAAAACTTCCAATTCGTTTTTCTCAAAACTATACTTTTCATGTTACACTATTTCATTATTCCAGCGACGATATAGTCTGTTCCTTTGAACTTCGGACTAAAACCTGTGGAACTGTCAAACTACAATTTTACTCTCTCAAATGAGAGTAAAAGGAGAACAGATGCAGAAGTACATAGGAACGCAAAAAGCACTATTTCCTGTAAAAACGTCAGTCGGTTTGTTTACATGTCATTTGAACAACACTGATTTAGCTGAAATATCACTAAACAATAATTAAAATCTATACATATTCAAACATTTCGTTGTTTACTTCCATTTTTTTACAAATATAAGGTACTTTGCTTTCACCGCTGTTAGTTTTTGCTTGCACATGCAAATCAGCTGATCGTTTGACACTTTTCATGAACTTACAGGAAAAGAAACTCCGGACTAAATCCTGTAACTTCTGACTAGGAACAGTTGCTCAGTTACTCTCTCAAATGTGTTCCCACTTACAGGTTTTATGTCAATACGAACGACTTCCTGTAAGTTCTGACTAAATCCTGTAAACCGAACTGCTATTGGAACAGACTAATAAATTCGCCATGGCTCAGGATTATGCCTGGTAAATACATATATACATGCATACATACATGAAAGATACCAGCCAAGGCGAATTAACATAAGGTGATAGCAGCAGTACAAAAACAAATATTTACATGTATTTTGTTTTTGCTTTGGCGGCATAAACTGTCAAAATCTGTAAGAGTGTGTGTAGAAATTCAAACAAAATTTTTCAATTTGATATCAGAAGCCGTGCGGCGAAACACATACACAAAATCAGCTGAGCTAGTAACACCACCAAGGTGTATTAAACAAGGTGGTGTTGGGGCGACAGCTGAGTTTTTCGCCGTGGAGGCCATTACGTCAAAATAATGTGTTTGTTGTAACTCATACCAATGACAGTATGGACATCAGCGTATAATTTGTTAGTGTAATTTTTTACTTATATACGGCCAACACCACCTTGTTAAATACGCCTTGAACACCACCTTATATAAATTCGCCTTGATACCAGCTGAGATCAAAGCGAATTCATATAATTGAACAATATGAATTCGCCTTGGCTGAGATCGTTTGGATTATACGCTGTTTACATAGTGCAATTTTAAAAGTGATTTCTTGAATCAAAAGTTGGTCATGTTCAATTTTTCTAAAAGCCAAACTATTTTAAATTTGAATTTAAGGTAATTCTCTAGTATAGGGTAACAACCCCTAAAAAAGGTCCGACATAAATGTAGAATACCTACAATTCTCAAAATAAAAAAATCATATTGGGATCGATGGAGATCATTGAGGTGAACGTAACGATATATATATTTATTTTTGGGGAACAACCACTACAACAATTATTAAAAGTCAAAGTTCAAATAAGCATGTTTTTTAATTAATATTTCTCGAGAACCCCTCCAAGGATTTGGAAAATTTGATGTCATTTGATAGAGAATTTAATTCTCTTTAATTTGATATACATATTTATACATATATCTTATATAGTATTCACAAAAATATAATTAATGTGGAATTCTACTTTGTGAGGGTTATAATCCATAAGCGCGGCCAAAGGCCGCCTACGCAGAAAGGTGTTCTCTGCAAATGGTGTTCAGCACCATTTCTTCGCAACACAGAAAGAGAATTCTACTTTGTGAGGGTAATAATCCATAAGCGCGGCCGAAGGCCGCCTACGCAGAAAGGTGTTCTCTGCAAAAGGTGTTCAGCGCCTTTTCTTCGCAACACACAAAGAGAATTCTACTTTGTGAGGGTTATAATCCATAAGTGCGGCCGAAGGCCGCCTACGCAGAAAGGTGTTCTCTGCAAAAGGTGTTCAG